CAAACCGTTGAATGCACCACTTATATTACTTGCTTCATCATAACCTTGCCCCCTCACCTATATATTTGAAAAAATTAATAAAAAATGTAACACATAAAAATAAAATTAATATCATATTAAAGGAATAAATATTTTATTATTTCTCACCTGATCGATAGTCAAGTTGTTGTTGGAAAAAACAGTATCGATGGCGACTTTAAGAGTCAAAGAGGATGTATCCAACACGTGAACAACTCCGATAAATCTTTCATTTACAATCCCAACTCTATCAATATATCTTAAAACTATAGCAATTTGTTCTTTTTTGGAAACATCACTAGACTCATCAACTAATATACCGAACACATCTTTACCAATTTCATCACAAATAGACTTGATTATCTCTTTTGAAAAACAATTGACAATATCTTTTTGAATTGTCGGAGAAGTCAACTTTTCATTTTTTGGAGCATTTTCTAAAGTAACATTAAAAATCTTCTCCTTATCTTCTCTAATCAAAGATCAGACTTCAATGAAAAGTTCTTTATTATTAGACTTTTCCGTCTCATCGTATCCACGAAATGGTAATGCATTTTTCAATAAAAATCTACAACTACGGATTGTAACACGTAATCGAATTTCATAATTACTTTGCTCAAGTTTCATTTGCTTATGCAAAACTTCACCAATAAATTGGTTTTTTCTCAATAACAAATGACACTTTTCTTCGGCCTACGGTGAGAACTTCGAATCTCACCCATATGTTTTCAAAATGATTTTTTTACTCCAATTGTCAAAGCCTTCGGTTATAAATGCATCTTTTCCACTTTGACCCCCTACCATGTCTCTAAAAAAGTAGCAATAAAAACAATATGCCTTCTTTTTTTTAATGCTATACTCTAACCATGGAAATTCCGTAAACCATTCCACAACAAAACGTCTTTGCTTCTCATCAAATAAGGTAAATTCAAAATTATGCCCATTTGGTTGACAAGGTCCTTTAATCAAATATGCCCTCCTTATTTCATCCCTTTGATTAGGATTATAAGATGTAATCTTTGGCCTCTCCCATGGGTCCGTAGGAAGATCATTCAAATCAAAAAATTGTGGTACTTTTGATTTTTGAGTATGCTTATTAGATTGTGGTTCTTGTGGTTTTGGAATATGTTCATTAGATTGTGGTTTTTGTGTATGTTGATTAGGTTGTGGAACTTGTGTACTTTCATTAGTCCTATTTTTTTTGAAGTTCCTTCACCATAGTTGTCTCCAACATCTACCTGTCTTTTGAAAAACTTGTTAATATCAACCTACAATCAAAATATATCAACATTCAACTCTAATTTTATAACTTGATTTCAAGTTTCAACAACAAATAACAATCCGCTATCAAATTATCAAAATATATGAGCTATAAACTTGATTTCAAGTTTTAACAACAAATAATCACTAATCAGTGACCCTAAGTCTCTAATTTAATAAACCTAATTGGTAATTTCTATTTTTTCAACACAATGCCAAAAAATTGAATTTCACTTAACCAAAAATAATCACAAAATTTCTACTTACTTGCTTCATTGTGCACTACTTTGATCAATAATCACCCACCACCATCCACCGAGGGATTTAGCCGGAAAACACCCACTACCGGCCACCGATCAGTGACAAAAGAAGGAGGACAACAGAGTAACGACGAGTAGCAGGGCAGGGAGGGAGTTAGAATTTGGAAGTTACGCTAATTAGATGCTGAGAATTGCCGTCAATTAGTTTTGTGGTATTAGGAACTTGGGCTTTTAAGTTTGGGTTAATTATTTATTGGATTAAACATCTACAATAATATTACAAAAAAAAGTTAGGATAACCCAAAATATATTTTATCTGCAATGTAAATAATAATTTTCAGAAACAATTTATACTATTAAAATTTTTTTGGGGCCTCGCGTGATACCCATGATGCTTTATTGAATCCGTCTATGATATATTTAATGTTCATTTTTGACTTTTGAAGTTTTTATTATTTTGACTGTAAATATTTTTATTTGTGTTATAAATTACTTGATAAAACTTATAGAAATAAAAAACATTTAAAATACAATTTATTCATATTAAAAACAAAAATATTTAAAATCAAATTGAATAATAAAAGATTGAAAAATTCAAAACAGACATAATACAATAGTATAATATCTTTAATATATATTAATAATTTAATATTTATACATAATATCTTTGGATCATGAAAACCTAAAGATGCTTGTTCGCATGCGCATATTCCAATAAGATCATCAAAGGAGTCGCAATTTCACCCCCCACGAAACTTAATATGCATTTAACACGCAAGCCATTTATAGTTATAATATTTTCTTCATGTAAATTTATAATCGACGTTTATTTTTTTTTTTTCAGTTATAAATCATCAATACTTAAAATTAGTAATTTTAATTCTGACCAACAAATATGTCTTTAAAAAGGAATTAAAGATGTCCCTCCCATATAATTCTTTCTTCTCTAGATTGTTTTCTAATATGTTTATACCATATTATTTAATTCGTGTTAATAATTATTTCCAAAAATCTAAGGGCAGAAACGTTATTTAATGAATACTCCCGCCAACTTGAAAAGCAAAGTAGAAAAAAAAAACAATAAATAAATTAATGAATGCGTAACGTCTCCACAAGGACCAAAACTCACACTCTCACCGGGGACGTTGTGTGTTTTTCCACCGACGGCCACCGTGGAAACTAATCTTACCGGAGAAATTATCGGCATGTCTGAGGGAGACGAACAATTTGTTCCTCATCATCGTGAGTGTATCTTTCATCTTCTATTTTTT